CTTGTCGCGGCAGTTGGGGCAGCGCCCGCAGTCCTGCCCGCGCCGGCAGCCGCGGCAGCGCCCGCAGCGCGAGCCCCGCCCCTGGCCACGCCCCCCGCCCCGCCCCTGGACACGCCCCCCGCCGCGCCCCGCCACGCGCGATTGGCCGGCGGCTGCCCAGGGGGCGGGGTCTGCGCCCGGCGAGGGGGCGTGGCTTGGCGAGGGGGCGTGGCTTGTGTCCGCGGAGGGGGCGTGGCTTGGGTCAGGGGAAGGGGCGTGGCCTGGGGAGGGGGCGGGGCCTGGGCGGGGCCGCTTGGGCCGGGCTCCGCCCTCAGCGTCGGAGTCTGGGGAGAGAGGAAAGGGTTAATTAATTGGGGGGGTGATTGATTGGGGTTCATTGATTGGGGTTGATTGGGTTCATTTGGGGTGAGTTGGGGTTGATTAATTGGGGTTCACTGATTGGGGTTCACTGATTGGGGTTCATTGATTGGGGTTGATCGATTGGGGTTCGTTGGGTTCATTTGGGGTCAATTGGGGTTAATTAATTGGGGTTAATTAATTGGAGTTGATTGATTAGGGTTCATTGGGTTCATTTGGGGTGAATTGGGGTTAATTAATTGGGGGTTGATTAATTGGGGTTGATTGATTGGGGTTCATTGGGTTAATTAATTGGGGTTCATTGACTGGCTTTCATTGATTGGGGTTCATTGACTGGCTTTCATTGATTGCGGTTGATTGATTGGCTTTCATTGATTGGGGTTCATTGATTGGCGTTCATTGATTGGGGTTCATTGATTGGCTTTCATTGATTGCGGTTCATTGATTGGCGTTCATTGGGTTCATTTGGGGTGAATTGGGGTTAATTAATTGGAGTTAAATAGGTTAATTGTGTTAATTTGGGGTTAATGAATTGGTGCTCATTGGGTTCATTTGGGGTGAATTGGGGTTAATTAATTGGAGTTCATTGATTGGGGTTCATCAATTGGCTTTCATTGATTGCGGTTGATTGATTGGGGTTCATTGACTGGGGTTCATTGATTGGAGTTCATTGATTGGGGTTCATTGATTGACTTTCATTGATTGCAGTTGATTGATTGACGTTCATTGATTGCGGTTGATTGATTGGCTTTCATTGATTGGGGTTCATTGATTGGGGTGAATTTGGGTTAATTAATTGCGGTTAATTAATTGCGGTTAATTAATTGGGGTTCATTGACTGGGGTTCATTGAGTTCATTTGGGGTGAGTTGGGGTTAATTAATTGGGGTTCATTGATTGGGGTTCATTAATTTGGGTTCATTGGGTTCATTTGGGGTGAATTTGGGTTAATTAATTTAGGTTAATTAATTGGGGTTCATTGATTGGCGTTCATTGATTGGGGTTCATTGATTGGGGTTCATTGGGTTCATTTGGGGTGAATTTGGGGTAATTAATTGAGGTTAATTAATTGGGGTTCATTGATTTGGGTTCATTGATTGGGGTTCGTTGGGTTCATTTGGGGTGAGTTGGGGTTAATTAATTGAGGTTAATTAATTGGGGGGTTGATTAATTGGAGTTCACTGATTTGGGTTCATTGGGTTCATTTGGGGTCAATTGGGGTTAATTAATTGGGGTTCATTGGGTTCATCTAGAGTGAATTGTGGTTGATTAATTTGGGTTAATTAATTGGGTTTAAATGGGTTAATTGTGTTAATTTGGGGTTAATTAATTGGGTTTCATTGGGTTCATTTGGGGTGAAGAGGGGTTAATTAATTGGGGTGAATTGGTGTTAATTAATTTGGACTAATTGAGTTAATTTGAGATTAATGAATTGGGGTTCATTGGGTTAATTTGGGGTGAGCTGGGGTTTATAAATTGGGGTACATTGGGTTCATTTGCATTAATTAATTGGGGTTATTTGTGGTTAATTAATTGGGATTAATTAATTGGGGTGGATTTGGGGATTTTTGGGGTGGATTTTGGGTTGGATTTTGAGTTTTTGGGGTGGATTTTGGGGTTTTTGGTTGGATTTTGGGTTTTTTTTGGTGGATTTTGGGAATTTTGGGGTGGATTTGGGGATTTTGGGTGGATTTTGGGTTTTTTGGGGGGTTTTGGGGTTTGGTTTTTGGGGTTTTTGGGGTAGATTTTGGGTTTTTTGGGTGGATTTTGGGGTTTGGGGGGGTTTTGGGTTGGATTTCCCATTTTTTTGGAATGGATTTTAGGGTTTTTGGGGTTTTGGGGTTTTTTGGGTTGGATTTTGGAGTTTTTGGTTGGATTTTGGGGTTTTTTGGTGGATTTTGGGTGTTTTTGGGGTGGATTTTGTGTTTTGGGGGTTTTTGGGTGGATTTTGGGTTTTTTTGAGTGGATTTTGGGGATTTTGGGGTGGATTTGGGTTTTTTTTGGTGGATTTTGGGGGGTTTTGAGGTTTATTGGTGGATTTTGGGGTTTTTTGTTAGATTTCGGGGTTTTTTGGGGTGGATTTTGGGGGTTTTGAGGTTTTTGGTTTTTTTTGGTGGATTTTGGGTGGTTTTGGGGTGGAATTTGTGTTTTGGGGGTTTTTGGGTGGATTTTGGGGTTTTTTGGGTGGATTTTGGGGATTTTGGGGTCCCTCACCTTCGGGGGGGGTCCCCGGCTCGGGGGGGGGTGCTCTCCTGCAGACGTGTTTGATCCGGGGGGACCCCTGGAAAATTCGGGAATTTTGGGCAATTTTGGGGGATTTTGGGGGATTCCGGGGCACCCCCTGAGTCCCCAAAAAACCCCAAAATTCCCATGAAACAGCAGCCACTGAAATCCCCCCCAAAAAACACCAAACCCGCCCCAAATCCCCCCAAAAATCCTCCTAAAACAAAAAATTCCCCAAAATTTTACCCCATATCCCCAGAATTCCCCAAATTTCCCCAAATTTCCAAAATATCCCAAAAACTTTACCCAAATTTCCAAAATTTCCCCGAATTTCCAAAATTTCCCGAAGTATTTCCCCGGAATTCACCAAAACTTCGCAAAATTTCACCAAATTTCCAAAATTACCCAAAAAAATCCCCAAAATTTCCCAAATTTCCCCAAATTCCTAAAATTCCCCAAAAATTCTCCAAAATTTTCCCCGAATTTTCCCAGAATTCCCAAAAATTTCGCAAAATTCCGCAAATTTCCAAAACTTCCCAAAAAATTTTCCAGAATTTTCCCCAAATTTACCCCAAATTTGCAAAATTTCCCCAGATTTCCTAAAATTCCCCCAAAATCCCCAAATTTTCCCCGATTTTTCCCAAATTATTCCAAAAATTTCCCCAAATTTCCAAAATTTCCCAAAAAAATTCCCCAAAATTTCCCAAAATTCCCAAAATTCCCCAAATTCTCACCTGGGGCTCTTCGGGCTCCTCCGACCCCGCCTGGAAAAACCAAAAAAATCCAAAATTGACCAAAAAATTCCCAAAAATTGCCCAAAATCTCCCAGAAATTCCCCAAATAACCCAAAATTTCCAAACGTCTTTAAAAATTCCCCCAAAATTTGAAAACTCTCCCCAAATTCCCTCAAAATTCC